TTTCTAGCTGACAGCACCTGGTGTGGTCTTCTGCTGGAGCCCATCTGCTTCACGGTTCGATGTGTTGTGCATTCAGAGATGTCCGCTCAAATAACGAGTGGTTATTTGAGCTCTTGTTGCTTCTTATCAGCTCAAAGCAGTCTGCCCATTATCCTCTGGACAAGACATTTTCGTCCAGTGAACTGCCTGCAAACTGGACAGCTTCTAATTTTGGACTGTTCTCTGTAAACTCGGAGAGAATTGTGCAGGAAAAGCCCAGTAGATCAGCAGCTTCTCAAAATACTCAGAGAGCTCCGTCTGGCACCAGGCTAGGTTCTTCACTTGACTGGGATGGCATTTTAAGACTTGTCTGAAGAAGCACTAATTGGTCAGTAATTACATCAGCGGCAAATCGAGTTCAAAGCTGTCTGATCTCTTAAGAAATAAACACTCAATTTACTTTGCATAATCTTTCAGCTGCTGCTCTCTGTTTTCGTTGTGCCTCCCATGAAGGTGCGGCCATTTTTACTTTTCATTTGTAAGAAAATCTCCAGACAAGCAAAGTTTTTTTCTCTCAAAAAGTTATATTGCCTCACATTAAGAGCACATAAAGGCATATTTATATATGACTATTACTGTAGCCTGTTAAGAGAGAGAAATCTGGTGGCTGAAATTATGCCAGAAACAGGAAGAGGGCGCTGTTTTCCTACTAGAATCGATAGACAAACCTTTGCTGGCCCCAAGTTGAATAAGTTGTACCTGAAGGTCCCTGTAAATATCAAGATTCATTTTGGATACTTAACTCTAAAATAGTCCATTATTTTTTTAGTGCACAGTTAATTTGACTAATAATGTTTCAATTTAAAAGGTAGTTTGTGCATAAAATGCACACGACTCCTCAGAGGTTAACACCTGTTCCTGTGCCCCCACAGCTCCAACACCCCCCCTCAGTATATGCACATGGCCAACATGGTCCCAATGGGCAACATGGCTCCGACGCAACCTCCGGGCACCGTGGCCTTCGCCCCACACGCCTCCATGATGAGCATGGCACCACCTCCCACAGTCCCTGCACCGCACAAGAACGGGGACGACGACGACGACGAAGACTATGACTCTTAGCTCGTTCTCAGCACTCCGCTCACACACTCTCTCATTCTCTTCTAACACACACACACACACACACACACACAGTCAATGTTATTTTTCAAATTCTTAAGTTGTTTTTCTGGCAGCTGCTGTAAGCAGAGGAGAGAGAGACTCTTCATTGCAGCCTGCTGACCAAAACGCCCTTGGCGGCCAGCTATAAGAGCCACCACCACCGCGAGAGACACAAAGCCTGTACATTATGTGTTTTAATTTTCTTTTTCTTCTTCTTCTTTTTTTTTTTATAAAGAAACTTTTATTTTATTGTAGAGAAGAATCCAACGAGGATCTTTTTTAACAAGTCAGTCGCTCGATTTTTGACTAGGAAAAATGGTGGTCGTCACCGTTTTTGCAGGCACAACAAGCTTGGGCCTCGCAGCTTTTTCTTTTCTTTCTCTTTTCTTTCGGGAACTTTTTTTTCCCCTCAGTTTCCTGTTGTAGACCTGAACATATCAGTCGTCGTCACTCAGATCCTCAGGTTGGCTGAAAGAATCCGTACATAGTAGTTGTTGAAGCTTTCTTTCAAGGCAACAGCACAGTATTTGGAAGATGATCATCAGGAAGGTTGGTGTCTCGCTGCTGAAGTGTTATGACTATGTTATAGATCGGCTGTGATATACAGCTTTTAAGCTCTGAGCTCTACTTCCCGGCTTTGTCACAACTCGCAGCCCAATTGTCCGGCTGTAACATAAATAAGGAAGCAGGTGTATTTTTTACTATACATTAGCTAGCTACACCTCTTTTTTTTTTTCTCCCCCCCCTTCAATGAGTTTCTATTTTTAAGTCACGTTTTTATCAAGAGAACTGTAAACCTTCACAGCTCTGAAGTCAATCATATCAGCAGGTTAATGAGTTAATTATTTGTTGTTCATGACCCTGGCAGAGGTCTGTTACTTTGGCAATTGGATCTTGTTATTATTATTATTATTATTACTTTACTCGACCATTTAATACCCTTAAATTGCCCATCTGAAGTATACTGTGACTCTTGGACCATATGTTTGTTTTTAAAAGCTTTTTTCCCCCCTTCTATTGTCCTCTCATTTCTGTTCTGGCCTCTCCTCCAATTTTGAGTAACTTGCTCCTTTATCCTGACTGTTTTCCTCCCCTTTTTAGATTCTTTTAAATGTGTTGATTGGAAGCAGAGTTGGGGCGCCCGTTTATGTGTCAGTCTCCGTATGAAATGGTTGCAAACAGACAGTTGGCACTGTATTGTAAACTTTTAACATTCTTTTTATTTTGTATGTAAAATAAAGTTCATATTTCAATTAAAATGGTCCTTGTATTGGTTTGATTTCTGCATTGGAATTGAGAGCTTGAAGGTACCTTCCATATTCAGTATCGGCTTAAAGGCAAAACCAAAGTACACTTACTAATATTTCAAAAGCCCTCCACTGAAATTTTTTTTTACCTTCGTGGGCGTGGAGTACATCCTTTGTAGTTCCAAATCCTTGCACTTTGGAATTCTCTGCATTTTCTATTGTGCAGTTTACCTTGGATGCTGTGCATCTGCCAACCGGTGACTCAAGCAGCCTGAAAGACGCAGCTTTGCAGTCTCCTTCTGGTATTTAATCAGATAAAAGTGCAAGACAGTACAGGTTTGTGGAAAAGTGAGAGATGTGATTGTTATCATGGGCTTGCGTTGTGTTCAGAGTAGCTGGCACACTTGGCCCTGACTGTTCATCCAGCCCCCTTTCCTCTTCCTCCTGCCTCTATTTTTTTTTTTTTTTTTAAACAGTCCCCTTTGTCGTGTAAATGCAGCCGCCTCTCTTACCCCCACCTCCAAACACAGCCGACCAAGCAGTGCAGAGCCGGGACCACGAAAACAACTGCATCCTTCCTGCACAAGCGTTGACTCAGCGCACTGTGAGGAGGGAGGGGTTTTGCTCAGTGTGTGTGTATGTGGGGTAAAGAGGGAGGAAGGTGGGATGGGGTGTCGGTAGTTGACTTTAGGAGGTTGGTGTTCAAACAAACGGCAGCCGTGGTGCAGGGAAGAAGGGAGGGGAGGGGAGCCATCAAAGGGCTAACAGAAGGAAGCGTGCTGTTTCCACACAGGAGCCGGCGGGGACAGAGGTGACCCTCTGATTCCCGTCACCTCCCGAGAAGCCACTGACTTACAAACATGGGAAAATATGACCAAGAGGAATTCCCTGACCTTTTCCAAGATAGTCTTTTTGTTTTTATAGATAGAATGCACCTTCATCAGTGGGAACACCAGCAGTCAATTACTAAAATATGCTCCAGTCTTTACTGAAGGCTATTTTTAAATAACTCTTAAACATTAGGTGACTACACCACCATGGTGGGCACCCTGTGTGGGTGTTTTCGTCATGTTAAAAAACACGGTTGGGTACGTAGATGGACCAGTCAATCATGAGCTTCATAACTTTATTCTTTTCACCACAACAGATGGATGGTTGTGGATGCCGCCCTCCCACCCTGCTTACTGATACTTAAAATTCCTCTACTTGGGGCAGTAACAAGTCCTCGACCCAGAGTGACTGAAAGTCTTGACCCAAGACTCAGGGGTGCTAATTCTCATTCACGTGCTGCTGTAAACTGTCCAGCACAAACTGGAGTTCATGGTTTGCTGAAGCCAAGAGATCCACATCAGCAGCAGCAGAAATAAGATCCTGAGACCACTGAACCTGACACCTTCCCCTTCTGCCGTTTCTCATGAGCACTAGAAATTTTGTCCATAGAAATTATGAACACAATCGGTGACAAAGGACAGCCTGGGAAAGTCCGACACCCAAGAATGGTCTGACTTATTTTCAGCAATGCAAAAAACCTTTCACTGTATACCACCCATAGGACACATGCTGACTGCAGACTGCCACACACATCCTTGAAAAAATATCTGGTACAGTGTTCAGTGACCTAGTACTACACTACATAATGTTCCATGTAATATTGAATTAAATTATAAAATATATTTTAAAAAAATCAAAATCAAAAATGTTATGTTAAAGAAAGCCAAATTATGAAATGCTATATTTAAGTAGTTCTCACAATTTGAACTTTTCACTGCATAAATTATAATCTTTATTTGGCACTAATGGACTTCCATTGGCTCATCGCCAGGATTACCAAAAATTCTACCATACTTATAACTATACTGCAGCATTTATGAGTTTATTTTTCCCCAGGTGGTTTCAAAATGAAAATCAGATTAAACTGTCCCGTAAGATCAAGACAACATCTGCGGTTAAAAGATGTGTCTCTTCTACCAAGTATCTCAGAATCACATCATTAAATGACTATTATTGTCATTTCGTCAAACCTCATTTTAATGGGACTAGATTAAAAAAATGTATGCGAAGGCAAAAACTTCCTCTTTGTTGTTGTTTTGTAAGTAGCTGCTTAATTTGGTGAAGTTAGCTAACAAGAAGTTAGCTAACTTCGAAACACCGGAACTGCGGAAGTCTTTTAAAATAAAAGTATCAGAACTACAAACTATATGTTTTTAAAGGAGGCCACAAACCACTTTAACTTTATTCTTTTACCTTTACTCACATGTCATAATAACCATTTCTTACCTCAGGTTACTGCTGCAAAATAGTATCCCGTTCAGACATGGGTACTTTTATTAGGTATATAATATAGACTGACTTGATTGGGGTGATACTTGAAATTACATTACACGGGGCTTCGTACAAGATTATTAACAACAACAATAGTAGTAGTAGTGGTAGTTCTAGTAACAGTAAATGTAGATATAAGTTAGTATTATAGCGTATTGTGCTGCATAGCTGGGCAGCTAGACACTTCCAACTTCTAAGTAACTAAGTTATAGAGCAACCACGTAAAGGCGCCCACAAGTTTTATTTTGAAAGTTTCAAGAGAACGCGTTACGCCGCTTCCCGTAACTTGACGACGCTCTGTCATCTGACTCTTTTCCTGTTGGGAGAGAAAAAAAAGTTTTGAAACCCCACCCTCTCCACTGACCGTAAGCGCAGACGTAGAAGTGGTTCGACAACCTGGCGAGTGAACTCTGTGTGAGGAAGACAAGTGTGATATGAAGTTATGATGGAGTTGTTCCGCTCTTTGGATACCGACTGTAAGAACGGGGGACTCGAGCCGGACCAGGCCACGCGCTGAACTCCCACCAGGAACTAACGGGATTTGTTTTTACTGCGTTTCTCTGAGGAAAGTAGAGCCGAGCAGGTTTGGAGAGCTCTTCCTGTTACAAAGTCGGCGGTCCCCAAGTTTGCTTTATGTTATGGTAAAGGCTGGCTATTCGTGTGCTTCCCATAAGACCGTGAGCATGGATACTTTGGCGCAATGGGATGCGGGATTTCCTGCGGAAGTGCCGCAAAGTTGCGGTGAGACGCCGTTATTGGAGTTTTGGGCTTAATGCGAACTGGACAGCGCTGAAACTTGTCGTAAAACACTGGTTGGCTGGACTGAATGCTCCTTTCCTGCTATTCTTCTCCGCTTTTCAGCGCTTCCTGCTTGTGGTGGCCACTGCACTTAATGGCTAAAAATACATAAAAACTCAAAATGGACAGTTAAGTGTGGTGGGAACCTTTATTACCAGTTGCAATAGCAGTACCTGGGAGTGTTTCGCAGTAAGCGGAGTAGTTTTCATTCGTCTTCTTACACTTTCCCTCTCTAAAAAAAACAAAACAAAGTCAGGACTCAACAGGTGGCAGTTTTGAATGAGGGGGAAGAAGAGCTAAATTAGCCATAATGAGGTGATTCGAAAGGCCCTTAAATACAGGCCGGTGAAATGATATTGTGCTTAAACCATGTGTTGGGAAACCACACACCACATCACTTGAACAGAGATAATTTCAGTGGAAGCAGTGCTGTCTTTCTGAGCTTTGAAACACTTAGCCTTAATCAAACAACAGCAATCTCTAGTGAATCATCCGATGGAGAGACGAGTTTAATGCGACGATGAATAAAAGACACTTGCGCTTCTGTTGTCTTTGACTGCTCTCCTCTAGCCCACTTGTTGGTCCAACTTTTGAACACATTTCATTAGTCCCTGATGAGCCAACAAGAAAGACAGGAAAGGGAGCGAGGCGCAATAAAGTACTCCTTTGTACTTTATTTTCAAACCCTTGGGGTGCTAAATCAGATCCAGTCAAAACATCTGCTTGAGGCTCCATGGAGCCACTGAAGAATATATTCAGCCGTGGCCCGTTGTCCAACTGGAAAAATTTGGAACAATCGCAAAAAGGGAACTTCACCAACCCTGTGTGGACAGCCTTATTTGACTATGAGGCATCCTGTAAAGATGAGCTCACCTTACGTAAAGGCGATCTGGTGGAAGTCCTCTCTCTGGACTCGGAGATATCAGGGGATGAGGGCTGGTGGGCGGGAAAGGTCAACAACAAGGTGGGTATCTTCCCATCCAACTACGGCTCCTTCAAGCCGAGTGGATATGGAAAACTCCCGGGCAGTGCCGTGGTGGATGAGCTCGCTCCGGCTGTGGTGGGTGAGTTTGAACCTGAAGAGGTAGATTTCCGGGAGTTGAGCCTGGAGGAGGTCATCGGGGTCGGGGGATTTGGAAAAGTGTATCGTGGTACATGGAGAGGAGAGCTGGTGGCGGTGAAGGCCGCCCGCCAAGACCCGGACGAGGACATCAGTGTGACAGCGCAGAACGTGAGGCAGGAGGCCCGTCTGTTCTCCATGCTCACTCACCCCAACATCATCGCCCTGCAGGGCGTGTGCCTGCAGGAGCCCAACATGTGCCTCATCATGGAGTACGCCTCAGGTGGGCCGCTGAGCCGTGCTCTGGCAGGCCGTCGAATACCGCCGCACGTCCTGGTCAACTGGGCTGTGCAGATAGCCAGAGGGATGTTGTATCTGCACAGTGAAGCCATCGTCCCTGTCATTCACCGGGATCTCAAGTCCAACAACAGTAAGTCCTTCAAGCCCGCAGCGCAGATCAGCATAGCTTCAGTCTGTCTGTTGGGGTTAGTTCAACGAAATCAAAGGTTTGGATATAATTACAGGGCTTTCTACTTAGGAAAGCCTCATGGCTCTAATGAACATGGCTGTACTGTAAAGCTCCTAAAGGAATCTCTCAGTGTTTACAAAGCCTTTCTAGAACAAAGAGGGCCTTTTAAGCTATCATTCACATTGCCAGATTAGTCCGTCTCTCATTCTGATTCTGTATCATTATTGATAAGAAGATCAGATTTATCTAGGCTTCATGTGACTCCTGGGCTATATAAGGTAGGCCAGACCTATAGGCGGCTGATGCATACCAGGAAAAACTAACATAAAGTGTCTTAGGGTAATGCAGGGCCAGTGTGTGCCAAACCAGTCTGCAGCGCTCCACTGAATGGATTGAACACACCACTCTTCCAAAACATTCTCCGGGGCGCTCTCATTACATCTTTGTATTGATTTGTGGGGGATGTGCACCCGAACCTTGCCAGCAAAATTCCCTCACAGGATAACTCCTGGTCCCTTCACTGCATGGGTCAATTTACTTTTGTTTGTCATCTTTGTGTGCCTGCTTGTGTGTGTTTGCATACTGCTCATAGGACAAGAATACCAAGTTTTTCCAGTGAAAGAATGCAGTGGACGAGTTTTACTTCTCGGCACCGTTATATTTCACACTTTGGACTTTAATGCTGTCCTCTTCTTGCATCAAAGGTCTTGCGTCAGTGTTTTCGGGGCCTCGTGGCAGACACGTAGGGGTTGGACCTTGTAATTAAAGCAACAATGCAGGGAGATGTATCATTGATAAAGCTTTCTGTCTCACCCCCCTTTTTTTCTGTAGAATAAGAAGCTCTTTTCTCAGCATCTAACGGCAGCTTTAACCCAAACAGAGAGCCAGCTGAATTTGTGCAGCGGCTTGCTCTCTGTTATTATCATTCCTGTGACGCAGCATATAATCCCCATCAACTCTGCTGTGGCCTAAAAAAAAACAAAAAACCCTTCCTCTGCTCATCCTTTGTGTTGTTAGAGATCCCGGTCACCAAACTACACCGAGAGAAAAAGATCACCTAGCAACACTTTTTTTTTAGGGTGTGGCCTTGGATGGGAGCATACAAAGGGCAATATTCTTGATTCAAGGTTTGCTGATAGCAGTGGATTCAGCACATCCTAAGATATCAATATTTCCATCGTGCCTTTTGTTTCTGTCGGTATCATCAGTGCTCCACAGAATGGCCTCACCCTCACCTATTGCGTATCATCTGCCTTGTCAGGTTATTTCCCAGCTGGAAGTGCATCTGCTGTAACACACACACACACAAAAAACCAGAGGAGTTATTTTAATGTAGTGTTTGTGTAGGAGACAGGCCAGAGCGAACACAAATCCCTCTCTGTGTGCCCGAGAGATCCTATCTCTCTCCTGCCTCTTGTTTTTTAATTCTTCACTGAATCTTTGTCTGTGGCCTGCCTCTACATGTCTCCGTACGACCTTATTCCTGTCGTGCCGCTGAGCAATATCCTGTTGTGGGGAGAGAGAGGGAGGTGGGGTCATTCGAAAAAGACATTCTTTCAGTTCGACAGTAATGTGCCCGGCTGGAAGCGCCACTCTGACAGGTTTAACGGACAGGTGCAAAAACACCCCGAGATAGGAGCGCCGGTTAAATAAACCAAAAATCTTAATGGGGCGGTTTCTTTGAAGGTACAGCATGTCCTAAATCATCCACAGTTGCCCTCAGATTGTAGTGTCAGTTCCTCAGAATAGTGGTGCAAGTTCTTCTTTCTATAGCTGCCATTTTGCGCCAGCGCTCTGCAGTCAAACAGGGAGGAATCTGTCAGCGAGGAGGCAAAAAGCCTGCTTCCAAATGTCGCTGTAAGTGACCGAACGCAGGAAAGAACTGAGGCTGAGGTGGGCTGAGGAAAGGATAACTCATTGTACGATGATGTCATGGTAAAGGGGGGGCAAAAGGTTTAATATTGTTAATTGTTAACATTTGTTACAGTGACGGATTATTAATGCGAATAGTCGTTTTCTCTGCAGGGCTTCTAAACAGCAGCTGTATCGCTGTTGTGAATTGTAGGGTGGAAGGTGCTGATTTAACAGAAGCATCAGAGTTCATGGTGGGGCGCTTGGCTCAGAGCCAGAGGCCATAACTGGAATTCCACTGAATGCAAGTGGGGACCGCAGAGTGGAGCAGCATCTCCTGTCTCTCACTCTGGCGTCTGCACGTCCGAAGAGTTTTCACACCTTCTGCACTTTGGTGTGTTAGCGTCTTGTGGTTAGGTTTAAGGGCTTTGTATACAAGTCTTTATGAAAAAACCGACATCTTTAGCAATCACTGGCTAATAACCAGCGCAGTGGTTCAAAGCCGCAGACACTGCTCTATAGCTAATCCATGCTGCTTATCTACAAACAAGCACCTGTCTCTGTCTCACACCTTCATTGTCTGCTTAAGCTACCAAAAACATCGGCTTGCGGCTTGGATCGGTCACTTAGTCGCACATTAAGCAGCTTAATAACTTAGTTAATGCCAGGATTTGTCGTTTTAGCTGCTAAATGGTGGGTTCCTTATTCCGCATTTCCACTGCTAACATGATCTCTAATTAGAACCATAAGTTTATGTTTGTGTTTGTTGTTCCCCGGCTGCCAGCCTGTACATGTGAACACAGAATAGGAGAAATTTAAGACCTCTATTCATTCTTCTAAGCGTTGTCTTGAAAAACACCTGCCTATTTAGCCACCAACAACTCAATTAATGATACATTACCGCAACCTGCCCCGTTATAAAACCACTGGTAAGAAAACAGTCAGAGGTGTAACTTTTGTCAACAACTTTTTTTTTTTCCAGAGGAAAACAGGGTGATGACTAAATAAAATTCATGCATTTGCCCCTGGGAAGCAGTAGTACTTTCTTATTTTTACCGTTTACCTTTGGGAAACAGTACAGTTAGCTCTCCTGCTCCCCGTTTCTCTTGGAAAAAAGGAAGAAAAAACCCTGTAAAAATATGTTAATTCTTGAGTGTGTCAGGGTTTCGTAATTTTTGCAATTCTCGGTACAGCGGATGACACTTTTGTCCCATTCAGGTCTCAGTTTATCAGATTATCCGTTTGGATAAGGTTTACTTCAGGGTTTATTTCCCTGTTCGCAATGCCTCCCATATCACTGCAGCTTTTATTGCATTTTTTCTGTTTTACTAGACTGTTGAGTTAGAGCCCCATCGAGTTATTGGCAGGTTGATATTATGGGATAATATTGGCTATTTCTTGATTTATCAGTATTTATAATAACCAAATCAAGAAGAGACAGCAGACGGACCTTAACCATGTTATGAGTGTTAACATGGCACCGCACGACTACACCCTTGTGGAACAGAGTGGATGATGGCTAACCGAAAATGTGTGGGTGTGGGCTCATCATTACGAGTGACATCCTTTACGCTGCACATAGAACCTTTTTTTTCCGATTCTATGAAAAATATTGATTCGTTTCAACATTTCTGTGATTAAAATATCAAAGCAGCAACATATTTTCTTCATCTACAGTAAAACTCAATCTGTTGGCTTTCAAGAAGCTCATTCATAGTGTCACCCGTGGACTGATATACCAAAGAGTCACCACGCACCATCAAACTGGAGAGGCTTTAGCTGAGTCGGTGAGGAAAGTGTCAAGCTAATCATTTGCTGTGCTAAAACTCACAGTTCCCGTTTTCAGGAAGAAGCCACAGTTGGATCTTTGATCAACATGTTTTTTTTTCCACAAGTGGACAAACCTCTGATACATGTCCTCTACCAGCATGTTTTTCATTCAGGGCCCCCGGTGCCCACACTGCAGCACGCTCAAAACATCCTCTGTGTGTGTGCGCGTGGGTGGGTAGCTGGGTGGCTGGGTGTATCGCGTTTACATGCATGTAGTGAAATGCACTCCTGTTAGCACTGCATTTACACATCACCGTTCCTCTTTGTGGCTGCAGGGCATATGAGGGCCATTTAGACTTTTTAGTCTGCTTTCCTGATGGTGCAGATAATTTTTAGAGGAGGGAATGAGAGCGCGCGATAAAGTCCAAACATGCACCTGTGTTTTTGTTTTGTTTTTGTTTTTTAAAAAGAAAGAAAAGCTTGCCAGTCAAATATTTTGTTAGCTAAATGCATGCTCGTCACTTCACTATTGGGAATGTGGGAAGAATTTATACTAATTTTGTGGAGCTATTTAATTTCTTGTTGACTTCAGCTCATGAGACTATAGTCACAGATGCCTTCTTGGCTGTAGCGAGTGCCAGACTATCCTAATTTGTGTCAAGGACAGCAGCAGAATGGAGCAGTAGGTGGAACGAGCAAGCTACTTCCAGCAAACCTGTCAGTCAGAGCAAACAGAGCTTGAAACCTATCCCTTGATAAAGCATAATAGCCTCCTAATGGAGCAATTTTAGGACTCGCTGCCAAGGCAAGCTGTAGAAGGGAAAATGTGGTCTTGAGAAAAAAGTAACATCTTGCCATGTGACACTTTAATACATCAGGGCTTTTGCTTATCAAATTAGATTAATGTTAGAGGTAAAGACAGGAACGTGCCTACACACATTCAGTGCAATCTGTGTGCAAGGCTTCAGTAACATTGTTTATGACTCAAGAAACTGAGACAGCTCACGTATGCACATTTCTCACTGTCCAATAACAAACCTGAGGCAGAGGAAACGGTTAATCAGTGTTATATTTCTACGGACTAATTTCAATGGGGAAATCCCTTCTTGACGTCTGTCTGAACAACTTTTGCAGCGTAATGTAAAAATGTTAAATGCATTTTTCAGAATCTAGTTTTGACAGACTATAAGCGGCCTCTTAGCTAGTGGATCTTCAGATAATTATGCTTAAATGCGATTGACATCTTCTGACTACAAATCCACCATATGACACATTAGTAGTGCAAAGTTTTATTTAATGTTATTTAACAGCGATGTAAAAGCAAAAGAGATGCAGGAGTG